TACTGAAAGTCAAAAGAGAAATCAGTTTAATGTGAAAAACTATCCAACTAATTTTTTTAAATTGAGTTAGTTTCATGAAAAAACTATAAAATAAACTATTAGTTAATTTGATTTAAAAATGAAAGAAGAAAACCAAGTTACCAGTATGAAAAATGAAAAACATGAACACACTCATCAGTGAAGATGAAATTAAAGTAATTATTAGGAGCTATTTTGATCAATTATATATATGCCAGTGAAAGTGACAGTTTACATGCAATGGATGAATATTTGTGAAAATATAAATTACCCAAATTAACTTAAGCACAAATAAAATACTTAAATACTTAAAATAAAATCTAGAAAAAGAAAGCAAAAAAAAAAAAAACCCACGAATGAATACCCTAAGAAAATATCAACAGATGGAGAAAATTCTGTGAAACATTTAAGGGTAGCCAAGTGTTGTAGTGGATAGAATACCTCAGGCTGGGAGTCAGGAAAACCTGAGTTCAAACCCAACCTCAGACACTTGCTAGCTGTGTAACCTTAAGCAAATCACTTAACACTGTTTGCCTCAGTTTCCTCATTTGTAAATGGCAAACTACTCCAGTATCTTTGCCAAGAAAACCCAAAATGTGGTCAAAAAGAGTCTTCTCCTCCCAGATTGATACTTTTGTGATTGTAAACTAGGCTTTCTTTGTCTCAATTCTTAATTAGCCCTTAGTCATTGAATGGACTTTGTGTCAGACAAGCTGAGACCTGGGATAGACCTAAATTCAGAAAAGCCAGAGTCATGCACTGCATCCTCTGTCATCATCAGTCATCTTGACTTTTTCTTGCCAGTGGTCTCTGATGATTCTGAAGAAGAGAGTGAGGCTGAGGACTTTGCACAGCTCCTCCTTACTTAGATCCGGTTCAGTGCAAGTCAAGACATCACCCTTGTGATGTCATTGGTCCTCTTTGAAAATGAAGGACCAACAACAACAAGATTGACTAACATTACAGAAAAGGAAAACACTATAAATGCTGGAAGAGATGTAAAAAAATAAGGTACACTAATCCACTGTTGGTGGAATTTTGAACTGATGCAACCATTCTGGAGAACAATTTGGAACTTCACCCAAAGGGCTAAAACTGTGAATACCTTTTGACACAGCAAAACCACTACTAGATCTGTATCCCAAAGAGATCCAAGAAAAAGGGAAAGGACCTATATTTTCATTTTATTTTTCTTTTTTTGGTGGGGGGGGGGGTTAGTCAGAAGGAACTGAATTCAAACCCAGTCTCAGACACATAACATTCGCTAGCTGTGTGACTCTGGGCAAGTCACTTAACCCCAATTGCTTCACCAAAAAAAAAAATTACCTAAAATATCTGAAGAAAATTCAGTTAAAAATCTTGTACCAAGCATATAAAACAACATTGAAGATACTAATAACAAAAGGGAAGATGGCCTGCAGTACTTCTAAAGGGGTATAAACATCTCAAAAAGTATTGAATGACAATCACCACCTGATGGGGAGTAGCAGATTCCCAACAAACACGAAATCACAGCATGATGTTTCTGAATGGTTGAAAAGTGCCGGTGTTTTATGGTTTTTATTTTATGTCTTCCTACTTTGCTAAAATAACTTTTTCAATTAGTTTTAGTTGACTCTAACCTTGTAAAAAAATAATTTTGTTTCTTTTTTGTGAGATGCGTAGGTTTGAATGGGAGACATTGAATCCCACAGTATTATAGTTTTTATATGTTTCTCCATGTAATTCAGTTCACCTCTTTTAAAAATATTTAGATGCTATGCCATTTGGTGCATACATATCCATTGTTGATAGTAACTGCTAATATTGTTGCCTTTCAACATCATACAGTTTTTCTGTTTACTTCTTTTAGTTGTGTTTATTTTTTTTACGTGTGAGCGCTTTTCCTCTTTCATTGATCTCTTTGGAGATACTGTGTAGTAGTTATTGTGAGGTCACAATTTGTATGTATATTTTAATAGCTTTTGGGGCATAATTACAAATTGCCTCCTAGAATGTCTAGACCAGTTCAGAGTGCATGTACCTATTTCTTCACAGCCCCTCTAGCATTTGTCATTTTCATTTTTTATTGGGGGGAGGGTCAGTTTAGCCAGTCAATTTCAGTATATTGTCTCATTGTTGTCATTATCTTTAATGGGATTATTGGGGTTTTTTTGTGTGATTTATTCTTTAACCCCACTCATTCTTTACAATTAAGGTATCTAATTTCTAATTAATTTTTAGTCTTTGCTTAAAATCTTGTAACTGAAAATAATTTTTTAAAAAAGTCAATATGTGGCTCTTAGGAATCTTTATGTATGGCTTATTGGCCCCTGTGTCTGTTTGGGTTTGATACCACTGCTCTAATACATGATAGTTTTACTGAATGTACAACTGCAAAAAAGGTATATGCCTTTCTATTCCCATTCAGTATTCTCTAGATATCTATGTTATATAATTTCTAAAATTCTATTCAGGTCCTTCATTTCTTCTTTGGTTAGATTTATCTAGATCTGAGAGTAATAAATTGATGTCTTCCTCTTTTGTGTGTGTGTGTGTGTGTGTGTGTGTGTGTGTGTGTGTGTATTTACAAGAGGACTATTTCCTGTTCTTTCATTTTATTTTATTTTATTTTATTTTTTGCCTTTTTGGTAAGGCGTCTGGGGTTAAGTGACTTGCCCACGGTCACACAGCTAGTAAGTGTTAAGTGTCTGAGGTCGGATTTGAACTCAGGTCTTCCTGACTCCAAGGCTGGAGCTTTATCCACTGTGCCACCTAGCTGCCCCAGGACTATTTCTTCTTGTAACTCATTTAATTTTTCCTTTAAGAATTTAGATTCTGTTCTGTGTGTGTGTGCGTGTGTGTAATGTTTAGTGTTTATATTAGTTGGTTGTGTATGGTACCTTTTAACAAAATAACGTTTCCCTGTTTATCTCTCTTTATTAGGGCTGTTTTTGCTTTTGCTTTATCTCAGGACATGTTTTTCTCAGTGGCTAAAAGATAACCATCCTTATGGAAATCTGTCCTTAGAAATGTAGTAGCTGTGTGACCTTGGGCAAGTCACTTGGCCTCTATTTACCTCAGCTTCCTTGTCTCCCTGGGTTGTTGTGATGATCAAATGAGATATCTGTAAAGAGCTTGGCACATATTAGGCACTATGTAAATGTTAGCTATTAACATTATCATCAATATTTGACACTATGTCATACTTCAACAAATTTAAATGGAAGATAAGGAAGAAAACTATCCCTTTATAGACCAAAATGAAATCCATTAAAATCTCTGAATCCATGTCTGTCACTGTAGAACTGTCATGTAATTACAGAATTAGTTCTCTTCAGGTATTGGTATAGCATATAGTGTATACAATCATTTTTAACAACAACTAAGATACCAAAACACAAGACAAAAAGCAAATACAAGCTAATACATTCTTCAGGCAGCTAACTTGACATAAAGCTCCATAATATGGAGCTATAAACCTTTGTTACTGTAGACATAAAAGAAGTATAATAAGGGCAACCTAGAATACTACTACTAAGCCTGTACACCAGAGAGATCAAAGAAAGAAGAAAAGGGCCCATATAAACAAAACTATAGCAGCTCTTTTTATTGTGGCAAAGAAATGGCAACTGAGGGGATGCTCATCAGTGAGGGGATGACTAAACAAATTCTGGTATTCAAATGAAATATAAAACTGATGTGCTATAAACCAAGTCAAGAAGCATTTATTAAGTGTCTATTTTGAATCAGGCATTGTGCTAATCAGTGGAGATAAAAAAAAAGTTTAAAAAAAATACCTGCTCAAGTCTAAAGGGGAAGACAAAATGAAAACAACTGTATGTAATACAAGATAAATGTACAGTATACACAGGAGACAATCAACAGAGAAAGACTGCACTAGTATAGTATAGATAGGAAAAGGTTTCTATTAGCAGGTAGGATATTAGCTGAAACTTAAAGAAAGCCAGGGAAGCCAGGGGGCAGGGGTGAAAGGGGGAGAAAGGCATGGGAGACAGCTGGTAAAAATGCAATGTTAGGAGAAGGGGTGTCTTTTGAGAGGAACAGCAAACAGGTCACTGTCATTGTAATCAAGGATATGCCTGGAAAGGCAGGAAGGTGTCAGAATATGAAGAGCTTTGAATGCCAAACAAGAGTTTAATATTTGATATTAATTTGATATTTGATACATCATAGAGAGCCAATGGATTTTACTAACTAGGAGTATAAAATGGTCAGACCTACATATTAAGAAGATTAGTTTGACAACTGAGTGGAAGATAGACTAGAAAGGTAGGAGAGGGCTAGTTATGACTGGAATCTGTTATTACTAATATGAAGTTGGCAGAAAACAAAAAGAAGAGTTGGTCTGTTTAAATTAATTCAGTATTTAGTTATCACTTTAATGCTAACAAGAAAGAAATTAATGTTTTGAAAATTCTTCTGAGCAGTAGATGTAATTTTAGGTATGATTAAGAGACAGCATGACATAGCAGACATTATGCTGGACTTCGTGTTAGGAAAATCAAGTAAACAAGGATTTATTAAGGACCTGCTGTTTTTAGGAGACTGTGGCAAGCACTGGAAATAAAAAGAAATGAGAAAACAGTTCGTGTTTTAAAAAAGCTTATAGTTCAATGCTGGAAACAATATATAAACGATTACTTAGTTACTGATAATTATGAACAGTATACATATATATATACATTATATATATATATATATATATAAATCTTTTGACAAAATACAAAACCCCTTTCTGTTAAAAAGACTAGAAAGCACAGGAATAAATGTAGTTTTCCTTAAAATGATAAGTAGTCTATAAGTAGATAAACCAAGAATAAATATTATTTGTAATGGGAATAAACTAGAAGCCTTTCCAATTCACTTGTCATTTTTCAGTAGAAACTCTGTAAGAACTTTTGGCTTACCTATTTATTACATTTATACCTTTGATATCGAAATTCTGTCTCTAAAATAACTTTGTTTTTCTATCCCTTTAGTCATCCCTTTTCCCTGAAGCTGCTTTCCCTTTGTAAAGAAGAGATCAAAAAATCCAAAGACATACAGAAGCTTCGCTCAAGCATTGCTGTGTAAGTTTTAAGGTGTCTCCTGCCTAGGAGAGCAGAGAAAAAACAATAGTACTTAAAACATAGTTCAAGGACTTTGAAGAAAAGTCTGGGAGGTATTGTTTGGTTAGGCATCTTGTTTGAATTATTTTTAAGTCCTTATCTTATTCTGTAAACAGTTGAAAAACTTTCATTTTCATAAACAAAAATAAGGAATCAATAGAAATTCCTTCGTCAAAATAATGTTAATTTTTTATACCCACTAGAATTCATAAAACTGCTCTTATACTCAACACTTTTAAGTGAATTTGGTTCACAATTTAAGAATATCAATTCTACTTAAGAGAGAATCAGAGTTTCCCAGGAGTATAATAAGGCCTTTTCAGATGGTTGAAATGGAGAGTTGGAAGGGGAGGAAAGTTGGGGCATAGGGCAGTTTAGATCTGACAAGGATTTTATAAGCTCCACAGGAGTTGTTTCAGCAAATGCTTTGCTTTCATCTTGACAAATAGAAAGGGTCCACACTTTCTTCTTTTGTTTTGATATTGCAAAAATTGTTATCAAATATATTTTAGTCCCATTCAGAGAATCCAGATATATTATGTGATGTTATAAATCTTTGATATGGTACAGTAAAAGTAAAGTTAAAATGGTTATGACTGACCTTATTGCTAAATACAAAACAGTGATAGCCTGTGTTTTTGTTTTTGCTTTTTTACGAGCCAGCCACCTTTGTCTTCAGGCTGCCCAATTGGATCTTGGTAGCAAATAAAATAAATAAAAGGATTTATTATTTTGTTTCAGTTTTGTTTGTTTTTGTTTTTTATTTGACCAAGCTTCTCTGCTAGATAAATGTAAATTTAGCTATCAGAAATGATTTGTCAGCTCGGTATTGTAAAACTGAGAATTTAATTGACAAAAAAACACTTGTCAAAATATTTGTTCTTTCTTTCAAATAGTTTTTGAAACCTCTTTGCTTAGTGAATATAATCTGATGATATTGAATGCACTGTTATTACTTATTGAGATTTTCTATTTTCCTTTTATTCTGTTTCCCATAGCATTTAGTTTAGGAAAAAAATAATACAAGGCTATGTGAAGGGCTTTAGTATCATGTAGCATTTTTGTGAATTACCCTCCACAATAAATTATATTTTTCAGCATTCAGCATCTCCCATGTGAAGGCCTTTGACAGACTGTTTTGAAATTTTTAGGTAACAGATCTTTGGTAAGGCACAAGATTAGAATACTAATAACCTAATCTTGTGTTTCTAGGTTTTGTGGAATGATTCAGTTTCCTGGAGATGTAAGGAAGAAAGTCCTGTTTCAGCTGTTTCTTCTTCTTTGCCACCCTTTTCCTGTAGTGAGTATCATGCGTATTTTCCAGTGAAATTTATTAATACGGAGATAAACCATTTGTTTTGTTTTAACTGCTTTTTAAAAAATTAAACTTTTTTTCAATCAGCAAAACTCTACCTTGTCTCTCTTTCATCCACCCAGACTGCCGGTTGAAAACGAAAGAGAGGAGCAGCTGGGTGGCACAGTGGATAAAGCACTGGCCCTGGAGTCAGGAGGACCTGAGTTCAAATCTGGCCTCAGACATTTGACACTTACTAGTTGTGTGACCCTGGGCAAGTCACTTAACTCCAGTTGCCTTGCAAAAAAGAAAAAAAAAGAAAGAAAATGAAAGAGAAACAACTCATTACAGATATTTATAGTCAGGCAAAATATATATCCACATTGGCCATATGCAGAAGAAAATATTCATGTATGAACACTGACTTACATGCATGTATATTTACATACAAATACACATAACATGTCTCATTCTTCACATCTCTATCAGGAGGTAAATAGTATGTTTCATCATTAGTCCTCTGGAATTTTAGATGGTCATTATACTGGTCAGAGTTCTCAGTCTTTCATTATAGAAATTATTTTTCTAGTTCTGTTCACTCTGCATCAGGTGATCTTCTCAGGTTTCTCTGAAACCATCTCCTTCATCATTTCTTTTGACACAATAATACTCTATCACATTTACACAGCCATTCCACAATTGACAGATACCCCTTCAGATTCCTGTTCTTTGGCATCTCAAAAATAACTATGAAATATTTTTGTATTTCAGTTAGAATTTGCTTTGCTTAGAACTATTCTCTTCTTTAATATGCCCTCATTTTAATTCCCCCTTTTTCTTTCTCCTCTTTTCCTCCTGTGTCCTTGTTGATTGTGATTGGAATGCATTTCTTTACCCAGCTGTGAGAGAGAGAGAGAGAGAGAGAGAGAGAGAGAGAGAGAGAGTGTGTGTGTGTGTGTGTGTGTGTGTGTGTATTCTTCCCTTCTTTTACCAATTCAGATGAGAGTGATATTCAAGTATCAACCACTTCCTCTGTTCCTCATTAATTTTATAGATTTCTTTTATATATTATATATCTATTTTATATTATATAATACATCTATTTATATTAGATATTTATATTATGTATAATGTTTCGCATAATTATATATAAATATATAAAATCAATATATGCCTATATTATATATACATATCTAATTATATATTATATATCCATTTTTATAAATGCCATATAGACATAGTTTTCCCTAACCTTCCTTTCTCTTCCCCCTGTAGTTTTCTTCCCTTTCCATTTTTCTTTTAAGATCATTAAGATAGCAGAACCACTTCCAGGTCTGCTGTCAACTTAGACTTCTTCTATTGCCCATTATGACAGGGTTCAGAGGGGACACATGTATCATCTTCTAATGTTAGAATGTCCCATTTGATAGTTTAGTCCCTTTTGATTGATTCATGTTTCTCCTAACTCTTGTATTTGAACTTCAAAGATCCTCTCTAGCTCTAGTCTTTACATCAAGAATGTTTAGACTTCCTTTTATTTCATTAAAATTAACTTTTTTCTCATATAACATTAGACTCAGTTTTCCTCTAAATAGTATTCTTATTTACAGGCCTATGCCTTTCACCTAATGGAATATCACATTCCATGTTCTCCATTCCAGTATAGTGTTACCTGCCAGGTTTTGTATAATCTTGACTTTAGTTCCATAGTATTTAAACCTTTTCCATCTAACTACTTGCAGTATTTTTTACCTTTGGCCTAGAAGCTCTAGATTGTGGTCTTAATGTTCCTTGGAGTTTTCATTTTGAGGTTTCTTTCAGAGATAACAGTGGATTCTTTATAGTTCTACTTTGTCCTCTGATTCTAAGAGATTTGGGTAGTTTTCTTTTAAGATCTCTTGAAATATAATGTCATTTTTTTTTTTTGAGGCTTTCAGGTAGTCCATTGATTCTTTTTTTCCCCCAAATTTATTATTTATTTTTGACATTCGTTATTTTTAAATTTTGAGTTTCAAATTTTTACCCTCCTTCCAGGCCCTGCCCAACTTATTAGGAAGGCAAGCAATACAATATCAGTTATACATGTGATATTATTCAATACATATTTACATATTAGCCATGTTAAAAAAAATTACACTTAATTTTGTCCTCAGAATTCATCAGGTCTCTGGAGGTATGGATAGCATTTTTTATCATGAGTCCTTCAGAATTGTCTTGGATCATCATATTTAACAGAGTAGCTAAATTTTGCACAGCTAATCTTCATTACAGTATTGATATTACTTTGTACAATAATCTCTCATTCTACTCACTTCCCTTTGCATCAGTTCATATAGGTCTTCCCAGGTTTTTCTGAAACCATCCTGTTCATCATTTCTAGTAGTATTCCATCACAATCATATGCATCAAATGGCCTCAATTTTTTCTGTAAAATATTAGGCAGAGACCTCAGCCATGGGAGGTTTGAGGAAGGATGAAAAGGTTTAGAAGACCCCCTGTGGAGAGAGGATTTAATTACCTTCTCTATACTGATGATTATCATATCTGCCTTTCTTGCCCCAAACTCTCTGCTGACCTCTAGTCGTGCATTTCCAAAGACATCTTGAACTGGATGTCCAATAATCATTTTAAACAAAACATGTTCAAAACAGAACTCCTTATCTTTTCCCCTAAACCCTCCCCCACTTCTACCTTTCCTTTTATTGTAGAGGGTAACACCATCCTCCCAGTCCCTCAGGTTCACAGCTTGAGTCATCCTCAAATCCCCACTCACTCTCACTCCTCTTATCCAATCTGTTGCTAAGGCCTGTCAGTTTCATCTTTGCAACATCTCTCACATATGTCCCATTCTTTTCTCTGACACTGTGACCCCTCTCCTACAGGCCCTCTTCCTCACACCTGGACTATTACAATAGCCTGCTTAATGGGTCCGCCTTCCTCAAGTCTCTCCCCACTCCAGTCCATCCTCAGTTCAGCTACTGAAGTGATTTTCCTAAAACACAAGTCCAACCATGTCATCCTGCCACTCAAACTCTAGTGGCTCCTTCTTGCCCCCAAGATTAAATACAAAACTCTGGCATTCAAAGTCCTTCATAACCTCGCTTCTTCCTTCCTACCTTTCCAGGTCTTTTTGCACTTTCTTACCTGATATGTACTCTTCAGTCCAGTGACACTGGCCTCCTGGCTCTGGCTCCCTCTCTTGGCTCTAGGCATTTTCTGTGGTTGTCCCCTTTGTGTGCAGTGCTGTCCCTTTTCATTGCCATCTACTGATTTCTTTTGTTTCCTTTAAACCGCAACTAAAAATCTATCTTCTACAGGAAGCCTTTCTCAGGCCATCTTAATTCTAATGCTTTCCCTTTGTTAATTGTGTCCTGTTTATCCTGTATATAACTTGTTTGTATATATTTACTTGCTTGTTGTCTCTTTCATTATATTGTGAGTTCCTTGAGGGCAGGGACTGTCTTTTGCCTCTTTTTGTATACCCAGCACTTAGCACAGTGCCTGGCACATTAATCCTTACTGCTTGATTGATTACTACATTGTCCATACAAATGCATATTTTAATCTAGGTAATAGATATTTTCACCTCCTTGGTTCTTCTGGATCAGGCCAAACTCCTTTGAGTGATTACAGATGTCTTCTAGGAAGCTCTATAGTGTTCTGGCATTTAATGTGATCAGCATAATCAGGATCAGCTTTTGAATATGACTTACAATCAGAATTCATAACAGAGCAACATTAAACATAATTCTTATGTCCATTACCTCTGTTTTTAAAGACCTGAATTAGAATCTTGTTTTTGCTATGTACTTAATATGTAATAATGAACAAATCACTCGGCCTTTCCAGTTCTTAATTTCCTTTTCTGTAAAATGAGGGAAGGGAGGATTTGGATTAGATTATCTCTATGGTCATTTTCAATTCTAAATCCCATGTTCTTACTCTGGTAGATGCTGATTTATGGCATGTTAGTTAAAATCTTGGTCAGCTGATAAAGTTAGAGCCACCAAGAGAGTACATGTAAAACCGGCTAGGGCCATAGCAGAACATGGTGGATTTGAAATTGACAAGAGAAGTGAAAGCACATGTACAAAAATATTTATAGCAGCTCTTTTTGTGGTGGCAAAGAATTGGAAATTGAGGGGATGCCCATCAGTTGGGGAATGGCTGAACAAGTTGTGGTATGCGGATGTAATGGAATTTTCTATAAGAAATGATAAGCAAGCAGATTTCAGCTGGAAAGACTTCCATGAACTGATGTTGAGTGAAGTGAGCAGAACCAGGAAAACATTGTAACACAATAACAGCAACATTGTTCAATGACCAGTGTTGATAGAATTAGCTCTTCTCAGCAATGCAATGATCTAAGACATTTCCAGAAGACTCATGATGGAAAATGCTATCCACATCCAGAGAAAGAACTGTGGAGTCTGAATACACATGGAAGCATACTATTTTCTTTTTTTTTTGTTTTCTTTTTTCTTTCCAGTGGTTTTTTTTTTTGTTTTGTTCTGATTCTTCTTTCACAACATGATTAATGTGGAAATATATTTAATATGATTGTACATGTATAGCCTATATCAGATTGCATGCATCTTGGGGAAGGAGGGAGAGAGGGAGGGAGAAAACGATTTAAAATTAAAAATCTTATAAAAATGAATGTTGTAAACTATCTTTACATGTAATTAGAAATGATAAAATACTATTAAGTGGTGAAAATAAGAGAAGTGAAAACAGATTATAAAGCCAAGAAAAATAAACCCTAAGAACGATAAATGATGACAGTTTTTTCTTTATGTTCTTGCTATGAAACCAGCTTCTTTGTTATTTCTTTAGCTTTCAAATTGCCAATTTTTATGGCAATGATAAAATAACAAGCTACAGCTTTTTTTTAAAGTAGCATTGTTGAGTTGAGAACATCTAATATTAAAGCAAAGAATGTGTAAGGAGATTTTTTTTTCCATTTGAGATCTTTGCTGCCACATAATAAGGAATGCTTTCTAGGA